CCACACATGTACCATGTAAGCGCCCCATAAGCGTACCCTACCGCACCACACCCCCGTACCAAAGATTTAATGGCCGACAGAGCATTGCTCTTGGAGTTAGATAAGCTAGTAGTAGGAGTGGGAAACAGCGCTGTTGACCAAGTTGACCCACCCAACTTCCTGTGCTTTCTGAGGCACAGAGAATCGCCTGAGCATGAGCCCGGAGCTTGCTGCATCCCGTAGGCTACGTGAACCTGGTGGTTTCCGGCGAGGCTTCCTTCAAACCCAGGCAATGAACCAAGGGACACCTGCAGAGGATATGCCCCAAAGATGGAGCATTCGCCTTGTTGACTCGATAGTTTCCACTAGCTTCGCGGTTGAAAGCCACGTTTACGGGCTAAACCTCAGTGATGATGAAGATGCATCGCCTGTGGTGTCGCAGGGGGCAGGCAATCTAAACATCGCTTTCTTGATCTTTAAGGGCAATTGCGGCTGTGCCATCCTGTACATGCCGCGCGGCTGGATGCATGGAGGCCAGGGGTCAAGGCAACAGGGGGAGGAGAGGATAAACATGAAGCAGGGTATAGGGTAGATTCATGGTGGTTTCCCAAAATAGGGGGACCCCAATATAGACCCCAAAATACTATAGTCCTTATTATAGGGACCCCCAAAAAGGTACCCATAATTTTGGGAAACCCCCTCATAGAGCTTGTTGAAAGGTTTGGTGCTTGCCTCCATTTTGGTGCCGCTCATTGGCTTTGCATCTATCTGGTGCGCGCACTTGCTTCTGAAAGTCCGCCTGACCATGGATCGTAGCGCAGGCTACGGAGATTTGATGAACAGTGCACTTGGGCCCAAGGGTCAGGCCGCCGCCAACCTCTTCATTGTTCTCTTGCAGCTGGGAATTTGCTGTACTTATTTCATCGTTGCCTCCAAACTGCTCCAGACAACGATCTGCCCTAATGTCGCTCTGGATGTCTTGATTGCTGTGATGGCAGTAGTGATGGTGCCCCTAGTGGCTCTTCGCAAAGTGGCTTCGTTATGGCCGCTGAGCCTGCTTGGGACGGTGTTAGTTATCGTTGGGCTTTTGATTGTTGGAAGTCTCGAGGTGCAGGCGGTCGTGGAAGAATCCCCAGAGCTCACCATGCTCAACTGGAGCGGGGTTCTGGTTTGCATTGGCCAGGCATGCTTCATGTTCGAGGGCATTGGCCTCATCCTGCCAACATACGATGCCAGCAGAAACCCGCAGGATTTCACCTGGATCTATGTTCCATAGCCGGCAAGCTAAAGTAAACCGATCATGTTTCATACTTCATACCTTTAGGATGACTGAGGAGTGATTCAGGGATCTGGTTGGAACGTGTGGTATTCCAATCTCTGTGCTGTCAGGTTCTGGTACAGATTCTCACGCTCGCCATCGTTTGCGCCATTGGCCTGTTGGGCTACACGGCTTTCGGCAATGAGGTTTCAAATCTTATCTTGCTCAACTTCCCCCAATCTGCTGCAGTCTTCACTGTCCGCTTTGCGTTTATGCTCCAAGTTTGGTGCTCCTTCCCATTACAGTTTCTACCGGCAACACGGCTCCTGGAATCATTCATGTTCACGCCGATCTCTGACCCTCCACTAGCGCGGAAAGCAGCGAAGACGGCATTCCGAGCAGTCGTTGTGGCGCTTCTCGCGGGGCTTGCAGTTTTAGGGGCGAGCAAGCTTGACAATTTTGTGAGCCTGATAGGTGCCCTTTGTGGCGTGCCACTGGCTTTCATCTTCCCAGCGATTGCACACTATGTTCTTGTGAAGGAGTGCGTTTGGTCAGACATTCTACTAGCAGCTTTCGGAGTAGTTCTGACCATTTTGGTGACTGCGGTTAACGTAGCTGCCTTTGGCTAGTCACCTAGTCCTGGGCGAAGCCATGCGTTGTACTGCTAGAGCTGAATTCAGCCTTGCAGTTGGCAATTGGATTCAATAAACTGGATGTTCTCAGGGATGGCTTGGCTTAAGTGTCTCATGCCCAAAGCGGTGCCAAAAAGTGTGTTTGCAATGCTTGATGCAAATGAGGCTTCCAAACTGTGGCTCGTAGTCTTGGCGGTGTTCGCCCACTGGGCTCAAGAAATATGAAGTTTCCCTCCAGGCATGCACCAGGCAGCTTCTCATGGAGTAGCAGCTGATCAAGCACGGAGGCTAAAAACACAGTCATGCTCAGTCAGTAGAGGCTGCAAACGCACGGCCAGACTTTATCCACTGTGGAGCAGTTGAGAACTTAAACACCTTGATAGGTCTGCATGGTTGCATGCCCACACAGCACACTTCAGACATGAACGAGGCATTTTTTCTTGAATCGTCGACCCCATTGTTTCGACATGAGCGAAACGCTGCCGAACTATTTTCTGCAGTATCTTCGCCAGAACCCACACATTCTGGAGACTTGTCTGCAGAAGAAGTGAAAGGTGCTGGGCATGCCGAAGATGTGCTTTGCGCTGCTTAGCTTTGATTCAATTTCCAGCCTTTCGCTCCCTCGCATGATCGTATTCTCGATGTTGACCGGAAAGCCCGCTAAAAAAGGAGGGCGTCATGCTAGTGTAAAAGAACGTGTCAAAGGGATGTGAGTACCTTCAACTGGCAAAACCTAGCTCCCGAATACATGACAAACCTAGAAGGGCTGCTTCGAGCTGCTGTGTTGCAATGGACGAATTTAGACAGGCTGCGAAAATAGAGATGAAAGAATTCTGCCGCCGCATAAGGCACATTTTGAGACTGCTGCAGAATTGTGTTGGAGCTACATACCACCCGGCAAGTGAAATGTATATTTATTGTCAGGACACCCAAACAAGAGAGCGAACATTTTGCTCGAACCCCATGCCCCCAAGGAGTCGATTCGAGACTTCCAGGCCTGTTGCCTGTTGCACTGCAGCCATTTTCTGCCAGCTTTCATTGGGAAAACATCACAGGAAAAGTATGCAATCAGGGGATGGGTGGGCTTTAATTCATCTCCGCAAGAAACCCTCGAGTATTACAACAGGAAGCTAACGCTTACTTGGCTTTTGTGTAAAGCTACGCATTTCTAGCACTGGACAGAGTTGCTGCATGCAGTCTCCTTTCATACTCTTTGTCGGTCTTTGTTGCAGCTTTGTTTGCAATGGGTATTCCGAACCCAACCCGAGCTGTGGATCAACAAGCTACCCTGGCTGGGGACTCTAGAACAATGGCTGGAGTACAGTTTGCAATGTGTGTGGTCAACTACTGAGAGCGGTGACGAGCCAACCTGTTTTATCTGGAGGCCAGAAACCAAATCCACATTTCCGTGACTATCGAGTTGTGGGGGACAGAAACAAGCCAAGAAGAGAAATTGCTGGAAAACGTGTGAAGTTACAAGTGGCTTGCTTGACACTCCAGTGGGTGTTGATAGTTTCAGCGTGGTGTTTAGGTCAAGCCACCATCTGTTTCGGGAAGCTATAGAGAGCCTTCCGATCAGCTTTCATATGCCATGTATGCCACGAGGTCAAATATCGACCTTGCTTTGTGGGGCCTCGCACAACAGATGATTACACACAGGAGCAGAGAGTGGCTTATATGGAGTTTGCGACTTGGTTCTTAAGAGCTGTGCAGGCTTTGCTAGCCATGCAATTGTCTTACTGGTTATCAAGGAATGAAGGAACGGATCCTTGTAGTAGTCCCTACCCAATCCCCAATAATATAACAGTCTCCATTTCGTTTCCATTCACGCATTGATCCCTGTGCAGTCAATAGAGTTTCTGTGTAGTAGTTGCTGCTAGCTTCCATTTTCATCTGCAATTAGTTCTCCAATTATAGTAGTTTCCATTTCTGTTCCTCGAAGCCTAAACCCTAACCTAGCGGCGAAACCCTCAACCCTAAATTGCAGTGTCCATTTTCTCTTCAATTCCTTCATTCCCTGCCAGCCCTACACTCTAAAGCCTAGACCTTACACCCTAAACCCTAAACTTTAAAGCCGAAACCCTAAAACTTAAACCCTAAACCCTAAACCTTAAACCCTAAACCTTAAACCCTAAACCCTGAACCTTAAACCCTAAACCTTCCGTGCCTGCACTGCTGTGCGATGCGCGTGTCTAAACCCTAAACCTTAAACCCGAAACCCTAAACCTTAAACCCTAAACCCTAATCATGTCAAGCCCAGGCAAAGCTGATCGAAACTTGGCCTTTGCAAAATGGAGAATCAATTGGAAAAGAAGAT